CCAGTCGACCCCCTTAATCTATATTGGATTCTAATAATGTTTACAAAGACAGAAATGCCCTTACTTAAGTGTGGGGCAGAGTAACTCTAATAACACTGCCACATAAGCAAGTTACTTAATAAACAGAAGAAGACTAAACTACCCCTATTCGGCACATCTTAACAGATACAAAATCATTTTATGTAGAAAACCTTGAAAGGGAGAATCTTCCTGTGACATTGCATCCTACTCTCTATGATATTCTTCGATCACACAACAATTGTTAACTTTGTACAAATGATTATTATGTATTGCCTCCAATAAAGCCATTATTAGTTATATAGTAGTGTGTGTGTGTGTGTGTATTATAAAAACCAAACATAACAGCATATAAAGACATAGAGAATAGACCTGAAGCAACGCTTCCAACTTGTTTTCAGAACCTGAAAGTTTGATGAAATCATGTCGAGCAGATGCAATCTTCTTTTGAAATGTTGAAGTGCGTAAATGGATTATTCCTTCAAATTCCTCATCAATCAACTTTTGCACTGCCTGAAACATCTCAAAAATGTCAGAAATCCAGTATAAGCCGACTCCATTAAATGGACTGTCAGAAAGACTACCAAAGTATTCACTGACCGGCTACAGCAACAAATTTTATAGGGATCATGAATGTTACTAACTCGTTAATCAAAGATTAATTTGTATGGTGCCTAATATAAGAACTTGGAGTTGTAAACTTCCCCTAAGATGTAGGTTCCTAAAAGATGCAGCTCACATATCATGCAGGCTTCTTCACAAATAAGATATTCACAAAACTCTGTTATAACCAACAAGCCCTTCTTTCAATAGAAAAGTGAGCTTTATTAAAAGATACCATGAAAGGGGAATTCCTTGATCCTAGGGCTATCAAAAGTAGCTAAATAAAAGCATGAACTCTAACCCAGAAAACAGTGTGTTGATAAATGAGTCTGTGTTTTTATGTGTGTATTGAGAGGAGAGAGAGAGAGTACACAAAGATGAAAGGCCTAAAGCCCTAATAAAGGAAAATAAGGGCATGACCACCAAAACTGTAAATGGGTCCAATGAACAAGAAAAATCCCACTCCACAGGAAAGAAAAAATGCATAGCTACTTAGGAAGGGGCTCTCCTCCCAATAGTTGCTCCCACTTTGAAACTCCACCTCTAGCAAGCAATTAAGCTACTCAATCTAAAAATCCAGGAACTTGAATGTTCAACCTAGAAAGCCCCTCATCCACTCATCCTCTCCAACCCTCAAGCATGATGCACAATTGGAGAAGGGTCACGATCTCAGCTCTCACTGAGTCACCAGAATTTACCAGACCATAAAATGCTTCAACAACCATGCTGCTAATGTCTCAGAACCCCCATCAATATCCTAAAATACAATAAATATCCAGATTAAAGCCAGCCAAAGTTTCACCTGGTAGTGTTCATTTAGGAAGAGTATATAAGTGAATAACCACCCCAACAGTTCATTGTTAGTACGAGGTCGAGGCATGCTTCTAGTGTTCTTTTCCTCGCTGAAACAATTTCAGCTGCTGACAATTGACTATCAAAAAACATCAAAATGATGATTATAGTTGTTTTATGGTTACAAATTCCAACCTAAGGGGCCATTTGATAGCAGCTGAGTGACTGAACTGAATGACTTCTTTCTGTGTCTTTTAGTGAACACGTTAAGGAGGGCGTGAGATCCTTAATAGTTGAAGATGAATTCAGATTGATTATGATATCCTTGAGTATTTATTATTTAACTATTCTATTCACTTAAAGACAAAAAAGTGCCTCATCCAGTTCACCCACTTCAGCCATTATCAAAAAAGCCCCAAGACACCCAATATACAAATACACTCATGGATATGCGGATGGGAAAAGGGGATATAACTGTTCATTTACTAAGATCCAGGACATGGACACAAGTATGAATGAACTCAATGAAGGCCCTTGCCCCGTTGATGATAAGAAAAAGAACAAACAAGTTAAGAAATGCATTCCAAAAGCATAGCTCTGTATAAAACTAAACAACCAAATGTGTTCCAATAGATCTGCAATGAAGTTGCTATAAGAAAATCATAAACAAGTCGGCATCCTAAAATAGGTCCACATCCTATGTATTTTCTCAATTAAAGTTCAAGACAGCATACCTTAGTCATTGTTGCAGTAACCAAGACAGTTTGAAATCCTTGGTCATTGAGTTTCAATGCGCGGTTTTTCAATGGGCTAAGAAACTTGCGAATGTCAGGACCAAAGCCACGATCAAACATGGTGTCTGCCTCATCCAACACCTGAAAGGATTAAGAACACACTAAATATATTTTTAGATAGTAAAGAATAATTTTTCATTAAAAGGAAAAGAGAAAGTATGAGAAGTCAGAAGTGGTGGTAAGACATCACCAAAAGGAGCAAATAACCAACCATTATCTCCTTCCCCCAACTCATAACAATCACAAACCAATTAACATGAAAATCAATTCAGTCACCTAACTCTATACTTCTACTTCTGTTATACAGAGCAGAAAACACATCAAGTCACCCCAAAAGAGCAGTCCAACTAAAACAAAGCTTCCACAATTCTTCAAGCTTTGAAGTTTCACCCACCCCTTTCAATTCCAAAGACTACAAATCTCATCTCCATGTGTACTGTATAGCTCATTCTTTTTTCTTTCTCTTCCAACTTCAACCCCCCACCCCCAGGAAAGGGAAAAAAAACTGGAGCATCAAGCTCTTGACAACATAATACACCATGACCACATCTATGACACTCCTTGAAACCTGTACGGCTATACTGCGTGACCAAACATTGACCTAAGCACTTAGATCAGCAGGCTACCACTTGCAAGATGCATAGATCAGGATAATTCTGTGGACACAGAAGAAACTGTCCTATTAAATTAGGTTTTGAAACCATCTCGACTGGCCTTATTCCTTTAAGATTTGAAAATATGTGGTTGACCCATCCAGATTTCATGAGAAAAATTGAGATCTGGACATCTGATGGAATGAAGAGTTGAGAAGAGTAGAATAGAAAGGCCTGAGATTCCACAAGAAGTTGCAAAGATTGAAAGAAAAATTAAAGAATGGAACAGTGAGAATTTTGGGAGACTAGAGAACCAGAAATTGAATCTAATGACTCAAATTGAGGAATTAGATGAGAAGGAAAATCAAGGAGGATTAAGTGAAGAGGAAAGAGTGCTGAGAAGGAGATTGAAAAAAGAATTAGAGGTGATCTTGTACAGGGAAGAGATAATCTAGAGACAGAAGTCCATAGATAAGTGGATCAAGGAATGTAACAGAAATACTAGATACTTTCATGCTTTAGCTAATGGTACGAGACGGAAGTAAATGGAGATGTGGTTTCAAGTCAACCAAAAATTGCTAGAATGTTCATTGATCATTTTAAGTCTATTTTCAGGAAACCTTTGAATCTGAGAAAGAATTTGGAAGATTTCGTTGGCCTAGTTTGGATATAGAAGTAGCAAAGTGGTTGGAAAGGAACTTTGAAGAGGAAGAAATTAGGAAGGCTATCTTTTCTATGAACAGATCTAAGGCCCTTGGGCCTGACGGCTTTACAATGGTCTTATACCAAGATTGTTGGCACGTGGTGAAGGAAGAACTGTGTGAAGTGTTCTATGAATTTGCAGAAAGGCATTTCATTAGTCAAGGAATTAGTGCTAAATATTTGGCCCTTATCCTGAAGAAACCAAATGTTAATCACCCAAAAGATTTCAGGTCTATCAGTTTGGTGACTAGTATTTATAAGATAATCGCCAAGGTCGTTTCTTTGAGACTCAAAGTAGTGATTCCATCCTTAATTAATCAGTTTCAAGATGCTTTCTCGCAAGATAGAAAGATACCTGAGCAAATTCTTATTGCAAATGAGTGTTTGGAAGAAATGAGAAGATCTAACCGTAAGGATTTTGTTTGCAAGCTTAACTTGGAGAAAGATTATGACTTGGTGGATTGGAATTTCTTGTTGAAGGTGATGAGAACTTGTGGTTTTGGTGATAGATGGTGCAAATGGGTAAAGGGGTGTTTAAAATCATGTCACTATTCCGTGTTGGTCAATGGGGTGGTGGTCAAGGATTTTTTTCAGGCAAGTAGAAGCCTGAGGTAGGGAGACCCCCTATCCCCATTCCACTTTAGTCTAGTGGTGGATGTCTTTAGTAGACTCATTTCCAAGTCAGACAGGGAGGGGGAGATTTAGGGGTTGGAATATTGGTGGCAATAATATTGTAATCATACACCTTCAATTTGCAAATTATATCATAATATTTTGTGAAGGGAGTAAACAAAGGATGATTGGGCACCTTAAGGGCTTGGTGAAGAAATTTTAAGCTGTTTCAAATCTCAAAGTCAATTTTGAAAAGAGCTACATCTTGGGGATTAACTTGGAAGACAGAGAATTAGAGGCTATCACAGAAAGGCTTGAGTGCTCCATTTCAAGTTGGCCTTTGACCTATCCGGGACCTTCCTTTAAGTGCTAATTTCAAGAAGAGTAGATTCTGGTCTCCAATAATAGAAAGATGTGCAAAATGGCTAGCAATGTGAAAGAAGAATTACATTTCTTTGGGTGAGAGAATTACCCCAATTAGATCAACCCTAGCAAACCTGCCCCTGTATTATTTGTCAGTGTTCAAGATTCCATAAAAGGAGGCTAGAAAGATTGAGAAGGTAATGAAGGATTTCCTATGGGAACCAGGGGAGGATAAAAAAGATCACTTGGTGAGATAGGAAATAGTGGCTTGAGATCCAAAGGAGAGAGGCTTGGGATTTGGTAATGTAAATAAAAAGAACTTAACCTTGTTAGGTAAATGGATTTGGAGGTGGTCGTTGGAGAAGGATAGATTGTGGCATGAGGTGATAGCTAGAATTCATGGCAAGACGAACTCTGGATGGGATGCAGGAGTGTCTCAATGGGCTACTCTTACTTCACCGTGGAAAGCAATTCACAGGTTTCTTCACCAGTTTCTCAGTTTCATCAGGTATAATGTGTGCTCTAGGGGGGGGGGGGGGGTAAAGTTCTAGGAAGACCTTCTGGTTGGTTCTTCAACTCTTAAAGATTTGTTCACTTCCCTTTACTCAATTTCTTTGTACGGTGTTTCAGACTTCATCGTCCCTCCTATCCTTCCATTGAATCATAATTGGGATTTTTGGTTTCAAAGAGGGTTGAGGGATGATGAAGTGATCTGTGATAGAGTTGAATGGGCTATTGCAACTTCTTGATTCTGTTTGCTTGGATCCTACCAAACCGGATGGACATATCTGGGTTCCTCATCTGAAGGGCTTTTTTCTTGCACTACTCTGTTTAAGTCTCTCTGTTTTTCTTCTCCTCCTCAACCTTTTCCTATTAAGGAAGTGTGGTGTTGGCCTGTTCCTAATAAAATTGGAGCCTTTTGTTGGGTGGTGTACCACGGGAAGATCAACACCATGGACATGTTACAAAAAAGAAGACCCTTATTATGCTTATCCCCAAACCAGTGCACTCTATGTAAATCCAATGAAGAAAATTGTTACCACTTACTAATATCCTGTCCTTTTGCTGCAGACATTTGGGAGTGGTTTTTCTCTCTCTTTTCCCTATTCCAACAAAAGTGGCCCAAAGGGTGGAAAAACTCCAAAAAGATTTTTTGTGAAAAGGTTGGGATGAGGAAAAAAGAATTCACTTGGTCAGTTGGGACCAAGTTTGTTAGCCAAAAGGAAAAGGAGTGGGGATCAGAAAGCTGAAATTATTTAACAAAGCCCCCTAGACAAATGGATCTGGAGATTCAGGTTAGAGAAGGAAAGCTGGTGGAGGAAACTGGTAGCAACTAAATATGATGCTGATAGAGGTGACTGGATAACCAGCTCTAGTGTAAATTCCTTAGGGTGCTCTCTTTGGAAGAAGATCATGGACTTGTATCCTTTGCTGAGTGGGGGTCTGATTCTGAAGGTGGGAAATGGACAGCGTTTAAACTTCTGGAAGGATAAGTGGTGTTCACAAAGGCCATTGGCAGAGATGTTCCCCCAGCTGTATCTCCTTGCAAACAATCAGGAAGCTTTGGTGGCTGATGCTATGAAGTTTCAAACAACACCATCATTTAGAGCCCCTCATTCAGAAGAAACTTCCAGGATTGGGAAATTAATCAAGTCAGAGAGCTGTTTGAGCTATTATCCAATCTGGCCATTAACTTGCTAGAAGAAGACAGTTGGAGCTGGATTTGGAGTACAGATGGATCATTCTCAGTGAGGTCCTTTGCCAGAAACTTGGAAGAACGAGACATACCTGAATTTCCTGCTGCCACTATCTGGAATTTGACAACCCCTACCAAAGTAAATGCTCTAGTCTGGGTGGCTGTCCTGGCTTGATGCCTAACTAAGAAGAACCTGGCGAGGAGAGGAATGCAGATCCAAGACTTACTTTGAACAGGAAGTGTCTTTATGGAGACACTTCCTATCTTCTGTGGGTTTATCCTGGGTCATGCCAAATACAGTGTTGGATTTACTATGGTTCTAGGATTGCATAGGGGTATCCAAGTTGGCCAAAAGTGTATGGAGATCAATTCCTGCAGCAGTGATAATGATCAGCACTCTGGGAGGAGAGAAACAACAGATTGTTCCAAAACAAGGCAAAAGAAGTAGACAGTCTTATTTCATTTCTTTTGGCAAATTGGTATCTTGGAATGCATCTGTAAAAGGTTTCCAAACCAGGGTGTTTGGAGCCCATCTAGAAGCCTTCTTGAGTTGTAATGTAGTCTGGGCCTCGGGGCTAACTATGGCTCTTAAGTGGGGCCTCTTTGTATCCTACTTTTATATCTCAATAAATTTACCTTGCCTTTTTCAACAAAAAAACAGACGGGAAAAGATTATGTGGAGAAGTGCTAGAGCAGCGATAATATGGACTTTGTGGGAAGAAAGAAACAACATAATCTTCTCAAGAAAGGAGAGATCCAAAGAAGCGGTAAAAGATTGTGTTTTGGTTAGAGTAATACATTGGCTTAGGACCCTAGATTCCTTTTCATCTTTATCCTTTGATAATATAGGGAGAAATTGGGAGGTGGTGACCAGAAGCTCTTCCAAAAAAGAAAAAGAAAAGACTTTTTGGGAACCCTCAACTGAAGATTACATGAAACTAAACTTTTATGGGAGTAGCCAGGGAAATCCAGGCCCCTCAGGGATAGGAGGGGATCCAAGAAACAGAGAAACTATATTCTGGTCCTGTAGGAGTGTAAGAATCCATTAGGGCAAAGTTACTTGAAGCTATGAGGGGTGCAGATAACAGGCGAGATGGATCTAATAAATTTGGAGATTGAAGGAGACTCAAAATTGGTGATAGGGTGGCTGAGGAACCCAGAATCTATAATGGGAAACTTACTGTATGAGATCCTTGTACCATCTCGTAGTTTGGGAAACTTACTGTATGATCACCCCCATCAGGCCAGGAAACAAGCTAGTGCATCCCATGAGACAAGAAAACATTTTGTTTTCTTTCTTTTTTTTCTTGGGGTGGGGGCAGAATTAAATATGTACAACACACCTTATTGCATTAAGGATGATGCACCTTGCACCCTAACCACATTGATACAAGACCAGCCCTGGCTTAAACATGCTTAAGATCAACTTTCAACCCTTGCATACCCCCCCCCCAGTGGGTTGTAGTTAAGTTATCTTGACAAGCTTGTAAGTGATCTAGAAACCCATCCAGGAAACTTTTCTACTTATAACAAGATAAATGAGAACGATAGGCTGAGGTTTTTCTTTCTCTGTAGGCTGATGTATGTTGTATATTAATAACATGTCTTGGCAATTTCTATGTTCATTGAAAGACATGTCCAATCTCAGTTACCCATGAGACTTCTAAGTTCTAACTGAATAATGAATGCAACTTACCAAATATTTGATGTCACCATAAACGATGTTCCCTTCCTCAATATGTTGAAGAACCCTCCCAGGGGTCCCAACAACCATGTCTATAGGAACACTCAATGAATCCTCCTGCGGTCTTAAACGGCCACCACCACTCACCATAGTAGACCTGAACCGGGCATGATGACTTATAGATTTGGCCACACGGAATACCTGAAATGGCATTCAGCAGCTAATCATTAAGGATGCAGCTATGATAATTGAAGGGAGTGTAAATTCTACTGTAGAAAATGGTTAAAGACCTGTTCAGATAGCTCTCTTGTTGGACATAGCACAACAGCTCTAGGACGTTTTGGTTTCATTAGCATGCCATATAATGCTTCATCCTGTCTCAGTAGCTATAAAACAAAAAATTACATGTAAGAAAATACCAAGCTATGTAGCTATAAAAAAAAAAACTTTAGAAATGATGATGCAGCACTTATGGGGTTATGGATAGAAGATTAAAACAATGAACGATAATGAGGCTTTCGCAAATCCAACCAGATGAACAGATATATGTCCAACGTACCCCTGATGTACAGGATTAAGCGGACTACAGACAGTGCATTTCTTCTCATAAATCCACAGAAGAAAAGAAGAAAATATCGAGGAAACAGAAATTCAAGCACAACTGTAACATAAGCTATTAAGCAGGCAGAAGCCAACACAAGTTTGGCATACACTATTGAGAAAGCAGAAAAGCGGAAGTAATAGTTAGAGTGGGAAAGAGAAATTATATCCAAATTATTTAACATAAGAATATATTTTCTTTCCAAAAAAGAAATGATGAATGCTTACGTTCAAATTCTCAAAACTCGCACGAAGACCGCATCAAAATAATGTTTATTGAAGATCACACGGAAGAAAACTAATTGAAAAAAAAAAAGTTTCAGAAATAACCAATACAAAGTAGACAATTTATCAACTTAGCATTTAGCTTACTTGAACTAAGGGCAGCATGTAAGCTAGAGTCTTTCCAGACCCTGTATGAGAACCCAATACCACACTTTTCCGTTCGAGCACAGCAGGGATCCCCAGACACTGAATCTCAGTTGGAACAGAAATACCGAGCTCATCGACAGTACCCATAACCTCATCACCCAAACCCAGTTCATGAAAACTAGAAACGACATTGGTAGATCTGCTCTTCTCTGACGGTTTCTCTTCCTTGTCAGAAGAACGAGTTGGCGGTACCCTGCTCTGTTGAGTCTTTGCAGAATCTTTGAGGTGTCTGAGTCTCAGCCTGTCAAGAAGGATAGAGTGCTTCATGGGTTTCAACACCTGGTCCGGTTCAATTGTAGTGGCGGTGGTGGTGGACGAGCAAAGAGGCCTAAACCTCAGTAAAACCCTAGATGGCAACGTTTTGGCAAGTGGGTGTCTTATTCTCGCAGAGAAGAGAGAGTGAGATAGAAGATTCGAGGAGAATGAGAGATTCAGGAGTGTCCTTCCAGTGCCCCCTCCCATGGCTGCCGCGCTGCGCAGATGAACGACAACTCTTCTGTAAGATAGAAATAAAAGGATTGCTACGTTGAAGGAGCAATCGTGGAGAAATTTCGCGTTTGGATATAAGCATTTATCAAAATGCGGTCGGCGTAGAACAACGGCCCGACCGGATAATTGGTGACCGGGCTTGAACATGAACTGTAAACGGATCGGATTGAATCAGATTCATAATTCAAATCTAATTCGTTTATATTCGGATTCAAATAGAAGCTTTATCCATCGGATTAATATCAGGTTCTACTCGAATTCGGATCGCAACAGTCAACAGGATATTTAATTTTTGGTTAAATTTCTTAGACCTCCCTGAAGCTTAGGATCGTTGCTGAAACCACCCCTGAACTTCTTAACATAGTTGCAAGTAGACACCCTTTTTTAGAATCCTCTAATAAGAGGTAAGAAAATGTCCAAAATACCCCTATAATTACTTTTGATCAAAATGTTTATTTTCCAAATATTTTCTCTTCATATCAATATTTACCCCAAACACTTAGAATCTCTTTTTTCAAAATTGGCTTATTTCCCAAATTTGCCCTTCATATCAATTGCTCAAAAGTAAAATTACAACTTTAAACTAGACCTGGCAATTAGGTTAGGTGGGTCGAGTTCGGGTTGGGGCAAGACACTTATTGTTGATTTCGGGTTAGGTTGAATTTCAAGTTGCAACCGACAAATGTTATACCCTAACCCAAAATGTTTGGGTTAAGGTTGACCCACAAGTCAATTCGGGTCATCCAAAAAAAATAACTGAAATTTTAAAAAATATAAGAAAAATGCCGATATTAAAGGATAAAATTCCAAAATAAAATAAAAAACTTGAGCATTTAATAATTCAAAGAGTAAACACTAAATAGTAAAGATTAAAGAGTGAAATTTTCTAAGAATACATAAATAGTCCCAATTAGACCTAACAATCGGACCTAACCCATGACCCAACCCAACCCAGTTTTTTCCAGGTTGGATTGGGTTGGGTCATTCTGAAATTCAGGTAGCTAAATATGAGATCCTTACCCTGTTTTTTTCGGGTTGGGTTCGGTCAACTTGTTTGTTAGCTCTACTTTAAACTCCTTTTTTTTATTGTTCATAAAGTTTATATTGTTTTTCTATAAAAACCAACCTTAATAGCAATTGCATGGGTACTTTGGACATTTTCATGCCTCTTGTTAGAGGCTAACAAAGGGGGTCTACTTGCAATTGTGACAAAAAGTTCAAGGGAGGTGATTGCAATTAACAAACTTTAGGGGAGATTTCAGCAATTGTTAGAAACTTCAAGGGAGGTTTCAGTAATTTATCCTTAATTTTTTAGGGTAAATTACAAGGACCCCTTGTTCAATGAGGTCAGTAACAAAGAGTCTCTGTACTTCAATTTGTGACAAAAACCCCCTGAACTTCATCCGTTTGAAAAAGACCTCCCTTAGTTAAATTCGAAAAAGATTCTCATTTTGCTATTTCAAGATTTATAAATCCCAAAGCTGCCCTTTTACTAAGTGTTTTGATGATTTTACCCATTCAAAGGCCAATGTTATGTTATTCATACATGTTTAAACTTTCGTTACCGCATAGGGTACGAAAAGACATAAAGGGGAAGAAAAACTCAGTGGGGAAGAAAGTTTGAAACTTTCTTTACCATGATTGAAAGGTGAAGGTTGGTGTGTGTGTGTTTGTGTGTGTCAGCACCTGATTTTTACTCGGTCCACCACCTAAACCTCCAATTTACCCCAAATACTCGACCAAGCCCTTTCAATCTCTCCAAAAACGCCAAAAAAAAAACAAAGAATCTGAATTTTGCCCCGAGAACATCTCAAATCCACCATTAAATCTGCTTGATACCAATTTAATGGCCCTGATCAACCCCCACCTACACTTTTACCCTTAGATCAAACATTACCACCAGACCCCAGATACCCTAAAATACCCACCTGTAAAATTTCAGGCCAAAAGATCTTTGTTTTCCCCTAAATCACACTAAGATTTCATTTCAAAGCCCCAAATTGACTGAACCACTACCTTTCTAGATCTGTCCGATCCAAGCCCAATTGGGCCAATCTAACCCTATATTAAACCTAGAATGCTCAAAAACCTATCCAATAAAATTTCAGCCCAAAATACCCTTGTTTGCCCCTCAATCGCATAAAGATTCAATTTCAAGGCTTCGTATTGATTGAATCAAGCCCTTTTCCAAACCTGTTAGATCCGGGACCATTTGACCAAATCTGACCCCACCAATCAACTCAGAACGTCAAAAAATCCCACCCTACCAAATTTCAACCAACAATACCCTAATTTACCCTCTCATATAAAAAGATTCCATTTTGGTCAATCTCACTGGTCCGTACACACAAAAACCCTTTTTGTGGTCAGACCCATCTCATCCCTCGAATCTCTGACCCAAAAATCCTAGCCATCCATCAAAGAAACCCCTGTTTGACCCCCTAGACTCAGTTTTACCCAAGTTTTCCAAAATTACCTTGAAATAGCACAAAAATTATGAAAATGCCCCCCAATGCCCAATATAAGGTGGTGCTCGGTTATGTGGTCATCTCATGGATGGCCCATTTTGGTCCATGTGGCCATGGTATTTGGTTGGTTGTGGACGGGCCAAAATCTTAGCCACACATATATCTTGTGGATGTGGCCAATCCACAACATTTTTACACTCTATTTTGATATAATACATAGTTTTTCTATTATGCAAGTTGGTGGTTGCATTAAGCATGATGATTTGTGAAAGTTTTGGCCAAATAGGATAGATGCACTTGGGTCTAGAAATGTGCTAGGCTTACCCCCTCAAGACCTTGGAAGAGAGATCTCAAACTTGCTAGTTGTTCTGTTGCCAAATGGATTGTAATAATCATATATATATAGGAAGAAAGAGGAAAGAGGGAATTTGGGTAAAGACTAATGTCAAGGGATATGTAATGGGTATTTCTTCAGAATATTGAATTAGGAGTAAATAGAAAAGGGTAGGAGATGCAAATAACCAGTTAGTGGAACAAGTTAATCCAATAAAAAAAGAGAGAAAAGATAAAAAAAAATAGTGAATAAAATTAGTGAATAAAGAAAACATTGGACAAAGGTGAAATAGGTAAACTAATTTACTAGGCTCGGATATATTTTGGTGACATAAGGAGAATAAGTTATAAAAAATAGTAGTAAAAACAAAAATGAATAAATGAATAAAATAATATAATATAAAAAAAAAGAGAAATGTGAAAGTTTTTAAATAATAATAATAATAAAATACAAAATATCAAAAAATAAAAATATATATCTATATATATAAAAGAAGATAAAAATATGTATATATAAATAAAATAGACATATAAGAAGATAATAAAATAAATGAAATTAGAGTAGATTCTCTTATGATGCTATGTTCATGTTTGTTTTGCTTTATCGAATATTTGTTTATTTGTATTGGACTATTTGTAATTGTTTGCTTAAGCTACCATGTGGATCCCACCTGTTGGACCCTAAAGAGTGGTGCTTAACCCCTTCTCTCTCCCATTCAAGTCTTACCTGGACTGTTTAGTTAGTGCATCTGGCTACTAGAGTCACTATTAGATAAAAACACTTTTTTCTCAGGGGTTCAATCACTTTACTTTCATTTACTTGATGGGTGGCGACTCCATTTCCAGCCCAAGTGAGCAATTTTTCGTTGACCATAGTGTGTTTCCTTCAACAAGGCATTTAGAATCGGTGAGTCAATGTCTCCATCGGATAACGGTTTATTGATTTTCATTTGTTGAAATTAGATGCAGTTTGAGTGATACGAGTTTGAAGCCAAAATGATGCGAGTTTATACTTATTATTTTACAGATTTAGTTTGGATTATTTAATGGAAATTCTTAGTTTTCATTTGTTTTTAGTAGCATCCATGGTTGTAATGGTTGCAACTCCTCAAAAAAAAAATGGAGAAAACTGTTAGCTACTAGAATAACAAACTAGCTTAATTGATTGTGGCATTAAGATCCCATCCGGGTGTAGTTTGTTATGGATGTAGGAATGAGTTATTCATAGGCCTACTATAATAGCAAATCATTTTAACTAAGTGTCAATCCAAAATAGGATTTTTTATATTTACCAAAATATCAAATTACGCAATTTTTTATTAATCAAATTAGTCTAATTAACTAACTCCAAACCAGTTTAACCCAAATCAAGCAAGTGCTCTTTAGGACTCGAAGCCTCAATCACAACACAAAAGATCATATCGCATATTTTTAGTTCTTGTAAATTATTGTGTTTGAATAAACTTATGAAATTTATATGTGCAAATATTAATATTGTATTTGTTATCACTGTAAAAATGAGTGGGCAACCAACATTTACCCTTTAGTCACTAAGTAATCTTAAATTTGAAACAAGGTTTTGTGATTGTGGAAAGAAGTGTGTTATCAGAGTGTCTCAAACACCACTCAATCCATAGAAGTTCTACACTTGTCATCGTAGAGTTGTAAATATTATGATAAACTGGGTTGCTATATAATTGTCATGATGATTAATTGTCCAAAAAATTATTGTGTAGGGAAAATATCTGAATATCAAACCATGTGATTATTTCAGATGGTTCATTCCAATTAATCACTTAGATTAAGTTATTTCACATGTGAATCATGAAAAAACACAAGAAGATCATTTTAGAAAAACTGAGAAGTTATTACTTGAATTGGATAGTCGGATAAAAACATTGGAGCATAGGAATTCTTATCAATAATTTATTCTTGAAGGCCTAAAGACCATGTGCATCTTGGAAGCCATAGTTATATTTGTCTGTTTTGTATTGTATTTGTTTTACAACTAAGTGGCAACATAAATAAATCAAACCAGACCTTAATCTTGTTGTGGATATTTTTCTTGAATGTTAGTATTAATAGTATGAAAACTATTAATGAATACATTAAAAATATATATTCTTTTTGCATTTACTAGTAGGAGTGACTTAACTCCAAAGTAACTTCAATATCTCTTGCATGGATCATTACATGTGCATACTTCTTTCAAGAGAAATGAGAGAACATATGCACATTGACATTATCTCTTTTAAGGACTTC